ATATATATATATATATATATATATGCATATATATATATATATGTATATATATATATATATCTTTCACATAAGAAGCAACTGGAGAAGTCGGACAGGCACAGAGACCGCAGATATAGCAGTATCCCTCACCAATTGCAGCAACACACCTTGCTGCAACTGCATATGCTGCTGCTGCTGCAGCTGCTGCTGCTGCAGCAGCAGCAAACCCCACATGGATGCAGCAGAGGCAGCGAGAGCTCTTAACTGCATACAGCAAAAGTATAAAGTAAACATTTCTTCGTATTAAAGAATTATTTGCTAACCCTCAATAACTTATCTATAAAATAAATAAATAATATAATTAATACAGACAATCTCTGCCCCCTGGTTGTTGCTCTGCATGCGTAATAATATAATGCAATATAAATAAATAAACAAATATATAAATAAGTTAATATGCATATATAAATTAATGATGCTATTTTAATGCTTTATGTATATAACATATATACAAACAAACAAAAATAAATAAAAGCTTTTTAAATAAAAAACAAAGAGAGGGGTGGAGGAGAAGACAACAAAGTTATGAGGTGTACAACCTCAGATATATTTTTATCTTTAAAATAATTATTTAAACATTAATAAATAATATTTAAATAACAAAGAAGAGAAGAAGAGGCCTGTGTAAGTCTGTGCATGCATCAGCAGCAGCAGCTGCAGTATTAGCAGCAGCAGCAGCAGCGGCTGCAGCAGCAGCAGCTGCTGCTGCATGACTGCAATCAATTGTAAATAATAGACAATTAAGTGGATATGGAATAAATAATTAATTAATTAAATTAATTTAATGGTATTTAATTATTAATAATGAGTCTTTATACACCTCAGGCAGCCGCTTTCTTAGCTCCTCGTCTGTCGCCTTCAGCAGCAAGGCTGCGAAGTTCTTTGACTTTTGCAAGTGCCTCTAGAGGAGAAAATAATACTATTATGAGGGGGTTATTATTATTTGGAGCTCGTCGAGGCTTCTCGACGCAGCAGGGCGTGCAACGCGCAGCAACAGCAGCAGCAGCAACAGCACCAGCAGCAGCAGCAGCAGCAGCACCAACAGCAGCAGCAGCAGCAGGGGCCCCTCAGTATAGACGGGTACCTTTTGTACGTGAAGATATTTCTGTCGTTATGCAGGAGGTTCCAGACTTTAAATATTATTATATAGGAGAAGAGAAGCCTTCTAAGAACCCCTATAAAGACATTCCTATGCATACACCTATATTCAAACCTGTAAGCTTTATTCTTTAATCAACAATGCACAAAACTATCTATCTATCTGCTTCTGCTGCTGCTGCATCTCATGCTGCTGCGGCTGCTGCTGCTGCATCTCCTGCTGCTGCTGCTGCATCGGTTGCTGCTGCTGCTGCTGCTACAATTGCTGTGTGTACCGGTGCCGCCTTAATTACTGTAGAAACAGCTGCATGCGTTGCTGCTGCTGCAGCACCTGCTGCAGCAGCAACTGCATCAAGTGGTTCTTCATCTGCTGCGCCAGCAGCTATATGCACAACTGCAGCAGCAGCAGCACTCTATATATATATATATATATATTTATAGAAACAGCAGTAAAATGCTTTATACATAGAATAATGTTTTAATTAGTAATGCATTTATTAATAAAATGCCCTTATAAACATTTCTAAAGAGCATGCACATGACACGAAGTTGTTTTTTTTTGTTGCGTAAACAACTGCATGCAACAATTCATCTGCATGCAATTTGCATGCATGTATATACAGCTTGCATGCATGCATATAACTTGCATGCATTGCATGCATGCATGCATAGAATTTGCATGCATATGCATGCATGCAAATTATATGCATGCATGCATGGAAGCCGGATGCAATTATGCATGCATGCAAACTGCATGCATGCATGCATGCAGATGAATGCATGCAATTATGCATGCAATAATGCATGCAATTGTGCATGCATTTGTGTGTGTGTGTTTGTTTGTTTGTTTGTTTGTTTTAGGAGATGTTAAAAGAGTATACACCGCAAGGCGATCTGCAGTTTTCTATGTTAGACAACGGCTTAAAGATTGTATCCGTAGACAGAGGAGGGCTTGTCTCCTCGCTAGGCCTCTTTGTTAATGCTGGTCAGACTCTAGTGTCTCCTTTGCTTCATTTGCTTCATTTGCTTCATTTGTTTAGTTGTTATTAACTGTCTCCTTTAGTTGTTATTTACTGTCTCCTTTGGTTGTTATTAACTGTCTCCTTTAGTTATTAACTGTCTCCTTTTGTTGTTATTAACTGTCTCCTTTAGTTGTTATTAACTGTCTCCGTTTGTTATTATTTACTGTCTCCTTTTGTCATTATTAACTGTCTCCTTTGGTTGTTATTTACTGTCTCCTTTGTATATTTTCTTTTGTCCGTTTTGTTTACAAACTGTCTCCTTTTATTAATTAATTTATTTTAATTTATTTTAATTTAATTACTGTCTCTGTTCTTTATTTATAATATATCTGCTGTATTGGCTGTCTGTCTCCTTCATTATTCTTCTGTCTCCTTTCTGTCTCCTTATTGTCATTCGTCTTTTTGTTTAAATTATTATTTATTTATTTATTTATTTTGTTTGTCTGTTGTTTATATTTTATATTTATATTTTTATTTATTTATTTATTTATTTATTTATTTATTTATTTATTTTGTTTGACTGTTGTTTATATTTTATATTAATATTTATATTTATTTATTTATTTATTTATTTATTTATTTATTTATTTTATTTATTTATTTATTTATTTAAACAATTCTTCTGCTATTTATTTTATATTTAATTTATTTTTGTGTTTAAGCTGTCCTTTTCTTCTTCATAATTTATTTATTAATATATACATATATATTTATACATATATATATATAATTATTTTCTTTGTCTTAATAATACATTAACAACTAAATAAAAAACTTATTAATAAATAAATAAACAAATAATAATATTATTATAATTAATTGCATGAGTATTTGTATATAAGCACTTCTTTATTGTTTATTAATACCACATT